ATCGTTAACATAGAATAAAAAGCATTGATAAAGACAGATTTCATTTTTAAGCAGCTGAGTTTATAAAATTAGTTATGAGATACTGGCCTAACAAGCCCCATATCGGTGTGTTGACTGAAATACTTTTTTATAATTGAAAAACCGTAAATAAAATAGCAACTTAAACATTACAGTTATAAAATACGATAATAACTTATATTCAATAAACACATTTGATTATTATCAATTGCTTTAATTATCATGTAGACCAAAAAGAATATTCACCTAATAATTTTACTTTCGATATACAAAAACGAAAAAGCGCACGTATTTGGCTATTGACAGCCGGACAGATTATTATATTAAGGTACAGTAATCTCTGTCTTTGTGCTACATTACGCAACCATAAACGTATCTATATATGTTTTAGTTATTTAGATATTTGCATTTAACCAACTTGTCCCTATGCTCAAATAGCCCCGCTCTACCCTACTCGATTATTGTCATATTACTCAATATGTGTTCATTCAAAATTTTTTCTTTATTGCACGGAAAAAACGGTTTTGCTGAAGTATTTAAAAATTTAGCTAAATACATAAAATCTGAAAATGATTTTGTTAGATTAACGGAACAATTATGTAGGATGCTCAAATTGATTTCCAGAATGTCTTTTGCAGCATTGCTCATTATGTTTAAATTTTGCATATAATTATTTTGATGATCCAATAAAATTATTTTTAGATCTGTATCTATCTAAACATTTTTAGATACTACAAAAAAATAATTTCCTTTTATAAATATAGACAAATAAATTGGAAAAATTCGAAAAAAAGAATTTTCGAGAGAATAGAAATTTATGAACTCAAGATTATCATTCTTATATTTTATACATTTTATGTACTTTCGTACGTATATTTATCAAATCTCAAAGATGGAACAGAAAATAAAATTGATATATTCGATTAAGACAGACATATTCGACTGATATATTCAATTAATATATGTAATAATTGAAAAAAATGTTTATATATATATATATTAAAAAAATGAATATATAAAAGAGATAATGTAAAAACATGATAAAACCGGTTTACCGACCAGCGAGCGGAAATCATTGAATTCACTGGCGCCAACTAATCCGTTTGAAGTACTCTTCAGCAAGTGCTGCTTTCTTTTACCGCCGTCGATGCCTTTCCTGATGCAAAACATTGCCGGAAGAGCACACTCTTGACTATGGTACTTGATGCGTAACTTTCTTGTCATGGCCAAGAACAGACGTACACACTTTAGTAGCCGCGAGTAGCAACTTCGACGGGAAATGATAAACATTATGCGCGCGTACATTATAATAAAAATTGATACATGGAAACAGACACTCTATCTATCGAACTTTACGAGATTAGTGACAAAGCGCGGGAAGGAAATATTTTTCTTTCTACATTTTTGCTTTCTCTTCGTACTAAAGTTGTATGAAAGGAACTGCTTTAAAAAAAGGCAGCGCCTACAAGTCTAATTGTTATTCAAAAGCTGGGATCTTTGAAGCTATTTTTCTACGTTCGCTTTTGCTTTGCGCAGTTCGATAGAAGCTATAATGCGGCTAAGGTTGGCCACTCATGAATACATTATCCTTTCTAACGAGGTGAATAGGTCAAGTAGATGGAGTCGCAGCGTTCTGTCCATAAATCACTTAGAGGGCAAGCGAAATCACCCCATGTGCACAAGCCGGTTCGACTTCTCGTGCATCTGCTTCCGCTTTTTGTTTCGTGGCGTGGTACCGACGGAAGGGACATGCCCCTTGTTCTTTTATTCAACTTGTCGCAAAATTATCGTCGTTCTAGCTTTTTTTTTATCGTCCTTATATTCACGCGGGATACCTCGTGATGTCGCGTGTCGCATGCCATCAATATCCGTTCATGCGATAGAAAAGCGATAATAACTCGCGACATGCAAATCGGAGATATGCGAATCGTTTATGTATTTTGCTGTTTTCGCGGTACTTCTATAGAGGAAATTCAAATCCACCTGATATAATAACAGTTACACGCTTCACCGTCCGTAAAGTCGGCATATAAACGCTATCCAGCCAGAAATCAATTTTATGACGTAATTTAAATAATTTAAGTTTCCAGGGGACAGTAAATTGTCATCAATTGTCATCGGAAAATCGATGCTTTTATCACGCGACCGTTTGTTATATTGCAAATGATTTATTTCAATGTAGCAACGGTGATTAAGGTTGTGCTTACACTGGAAATGCGAGTGCGCTAATATTGATTCGCCGTAACACGACAGAAACGATGACGACCATAATTTATAATTCTCAGCGGAGCATTTGACTGAACATTATTAATTTACGCAGTCGGTTGAACATTAGGTGAATTTACATACAGTCGTACATTATACATCTGCATGTAATAATTTTGCACACGATAAAGCACTCTGTCGTAGAAAGATTTTTATAATTTAAATTTTGTGCAAATATTCTATGAAATGAATCCTTGAATCTTGAATCTCGAAAATTATGAGCAACAATTTATTTGTAATCAGTTACAAGAGATCAATAATTTAAATATTAATAAGAATAACGAAAACAGAGACATCAATTTATACATTATAATAAGCCATATTTTTTATATCGTCGGGTAAACATTGTATAAATGTTTAATTATCATTTTATGAATCAATTAATGATTTAACGATTTTAAATTTCCAATTCAATTATTCAACATGAAATTTTAAACGATACTTTTTATGCTTGTGTTCGATATAATGAGCATTAAAATTTTTTTTACATATGAAATCACATTTTAAATAAACGTTATGCGTATATTGGACTACATAAATAAGATATTAAAAAATATATAATATTAATATATATTAAAAATATATTAAAATAGAAAAATGAAATATATTTCGCAAAATCGTCTAATAATTAACTAATTGGAACGTTGTGATGCAGTGATGGTGTTAATAAATACGAGAATCTTATTTTTTGTAAGAAACGATTTGCTGTATTTCAGTTTTGAAAAGAATCAAACTCTTGAGTAACATAGAATAAAACAATGATAGAATAACGACAAGTTGATGTAGATAATGACACTGACGCGTGCCAAGTGTAAATACAAAGCTTTGTAACCACATATAAAAATCAGAAATACATAGAGTCAACGTAAGAATTAGAATTGTGAGCAAATTCCTCGACATTCGCAATGTCTTTCGATTGTAACTACCAACGTTGCGTTATAATAAAGCTATTTACAAATTACAATACCTCATAATAATCATCATTCACGTCGCTCCTCAATATGTCATGTTACGTAAAGTTCGATGCGCTACGTAATATCGACAATATATCGATAATTACTAAAACTTTGGTTACGCAAAAATAGACGCAGATATATATATATTTATATATATATATTCATATGTATATGTACTTATATACGTATGGATATATGTATATCCGAACTATATTCGCCTCCTTATTAGGGATTTGTTAGAGCTTATATACCTATAAACAAATGTACAATAATTACAAGGGAAGTAGGACATTGATATAATTTATAAATAGTACATATATAGTGATACATTATATCAATTATTTATTTCCCACAATCGCAAAAACGGAGAATACTTCAGTCGAAAGTGATGAAAACTAAATTTGTTGCACTGCAGTTCTGATCAATTTCGAATGAATAAAATGTTAAAAAATATTCCATACATTCATTTCTATATTTGTTTGGTATTCAAATATTTATTTGTGCCTGTGAATGCCAAGCAAAAGTACAGTGATTGTTTCAAACAAAGATTGTTATACAACATATGTTTTGAAACAATAATCGTATTTTTTTAATCAAAAAAGCAGAAGTATTATATTGGCGCGTTAAAAAGAAAATATATGCTATAAAATACACGAATAAAAAATAATATTAAGGATTTTGGCAATCTAAATCACGTTTGAAAGATTGACAACTCGCAATAATTATAACACTAATAACAATATAATTCAAACACAATTTAAACAATAAATAAATTCCGTGTAGAAATATGGAATGTATTTTATACATTCTTTTTTTTAGTACAAATAAACGAAAGAGAAAACCTCGTTATTGTGAAGTTTGTTTGCAAAATTATCGCAATGATTTGTATATAGCAGATTTTTCGTTTCCCCAAACGATTAAAGTAAAACGCGTGATAAAATGTATGTTTATCCGATTACGCCGATTACTTTCGTTCGAAATAAAATCCCCGTAATTGCGCGTTCATTAACAAATTCTAGTCGCACACATATTCGCACGCGTATAATCTCTTTTCGCGAAGGCTCATCGCATTCTCTCCCTCTCTTTCTCTCGCAACTTTCTCACTCGGAAATCACAGTTAAACATTGGTTTTTCGACGTTTGGTGTGGCACTCGTCATCCGATACTGAGAGGTACGTCCGACAGAGCAGATGGACAGAGAACGAATAAAATATCGAAAAATTTACTCTCTCGCGCGTCACGTAACTTTTAATCGTAAATTAAAATCTTGTCGGCTCTCTGAAAGAGTTTATTAGTTTAACAGTACTGTTAAATTGCACACATCCAAAGGTACAGCCTGTCCGATGCACTGCCGTTTAATGCGGGCTTTCGTCATAAATTCGTCGCTTCTGGTTTAAGCTGATACGCGGGGATTTGTTCTCGATGCTTTCAGCAGTAAATATAAGAGAATTACGTGTCTGAAAAGATAGTGCCGAATAGCAGACGAAAGCAGTCAACTCGGCGACGTTCGCATTAGGCGTTTAACCCTCGGACAGCGGAACGTTTACAGTCGCATGGAACGCAGTATCTGAGTCCTTTCGCTCAACCGTAGTACAAATTTGTCCATTTTAAATATCTCCTTCACATTTTGATTTTATTGTAAAATTAAACTACTTTGCTACGTAAAATAATAAGAATAAACAAATACAATTATCGAATAGAAAAATAAAATAAAATAAACGACTTTAAAACTATCAAAAATAATTCTAATATTTTTTACAATTTATTCTAAAAATGAATGAATTTCATAAATTCATCGTTGCTTCTCATGCATTATCAATACTGCTGAACGAGGGTTAATCGTCCTAAAAGTATTTCAAATGCAACGACAAGATTGAATCATTACTCTTGCAAAGCTGAGGTAGCCATACGCGATAACGACGGTGTTTTATCTTTTCGAGAATAAAAGATGAAAAGACATAATATAACATTTTTTCTCTTTACTCTGCGAAATAGCATTCGCAGAGTAGAATGCTTCGATACTATTGAGTTCTATTTAAAAAAATTAGTATTTATTAAAATATTTTAATATTTAAAGTATAAAATATCGGGTCTGTTCGCGGCAACATCGAAACAGTAATGATTCGCACCTAAGGATAACTACAGGATGTTTCATGTGCATATTACTTTCAAATTCTGTATTAGATTTTCAATCATATGGTAAAAAAAGCTTAGCGTACAGCTTGCGGAAGACGCACCAAATATACTATCGCGTAAACTCAGAGAAAAAGACATAATAGCAACTGTAGGTGAAAATTATATAAGTTTTATACGTAAAATTAACATGCACAGTTGTGTGAAAAAACTATTCTATAGTTATTGCAACTATAAAATAATTTGTTCAATTATATATGAGACATTCCACGTTAACGGGGACAAGCGTCTGAGCAAAATTTGTGAAGTCGAAATAACACGTTCGAGGACTTAAAATTTTCGTTTTTATGTATGGTTAAGAAAAAACGTGGCATTTTTTAAAATTCAAAGCGGCTGCTCCAATATGGCGGTTAGAATGAATAAAAAACTTATGAAAATTATTGAAAACGAGTTTATTTCATTGATCAGGTGGTCCAAAATTCATTCGATTTCCATGAAAATCGATATCTGGGTTTTTCGAATCACTCGTGAACAATCCGTAGTCATATTTCCAAAATTCGAAATGATCCAGTATGGCGACTGTAATGAATGAAGAATTGACTGGAATTCTTAAATCATTAATCAAGTAGTCCAAAGTTTATTCAATCCTAAAAATCGATGTCTGAAAGTTTTTCGGGTCACTCATGAATAATCCACAGTCAGATTTCCAAAATTTAAAATGACTAATGCAATATGATGACTGTAGCGAAACAAAAATTGACTGGAACGTTTAGATTCTTAATCATGTGATCCAAAATTGATTTTTTCCCATGAAGATAGATATGTGAGGGTCTCCCAAGATGCATTTCGTTAAGATTCATAGATTATGAACAAAAATTTATAATGAATTGGAAAATACATTCTGGATCCGTCATTTCGAATTTTGGAAATATGACTACTGGTTGTTCATGAGTAATTCGAAAAATCCACAAATATCGATTTTCCTGGAAATTGAATGAATTTTGGACCACCTGATCAATGAACTAAATATTTTCGATAATTTTCATACGTTTTTTATTCTAGCGATATTATTGGAGCAGCCGTTTTGAATTTTCAAAACGCCATTGTTTTTCCTTAAACCACACATAAAAATGAAAATTTTAAGTCCTCGTTTTATTTCGACTTCACAAATTTTGCCCAGACACTTGTCCACGTTAACGTGGAATATCCCATATACATTAATTCTACATATAATACTTGTACAGTTGTCACCTGTATAGAGTTGCTAACACTAAGTTTTTCTCCAAGTGTAGTAATCGAGAAAAAAAAAAACATTCCTACCGCTTCGATATCCGTTTTATGACTTCAGATTCCTTCGCGAGATTCCGTGACAAAAGCACCGCGTATAGTAGAACCGATGCTCTTCGTTCACGTACTCGAATCCGTAGCAGAATCACAGTTCGCCGGCCGATTTATCTCGGAAGCGTTTGGCTCACGAGAACGCTCATCGCCGAGAACTCATTGGTGCATCCCGGAGGTGGCACCTAGACGAGATCCATAGATAGAATACGGCGAGAAATATGCTAGTCCAGCAGTCGCGTGTGGATGCGGCGGCGGTGGTGGCGGCGGCGGAAGCGGCAGCCCGAGCGTCGACAGAGACGGTGTCAAGAGCGGCGAGGGTTTCCCATAGGGATGGTAGCGCGCGGTAGCGAGTGGACTTAAAGGCGGCGTAGGGTAAGACCTCGCGAACAGAGGATGAGTCGGGTGCAACGCCGGGGGTGGCCCAGGCAGTAGGGAGAGCGCGGCAGCCGCACTTGCGGGATCGGTTGCGCCGCTCGACATGTTCGTGTGACTTCTGAGATGTTGCAGCAGCTCTTCAGACGTACCGAATCTTTTTCCGCAGTACGCGGTATCACCCGCGATCCAGTTGCAGACATAGGGTAGCTGCGTGCCGGCCAGTGCCGCCAGTTGCGCATGCGCGTAAACCAGCGAGCCGTAGGGCGAAACGCTGCCGGGTTTGTGATCACACTGAGCGCATCCAGCCGGACAGGAACCCGGCGTCGCGCCCGCACCCGACGGCAACTTGCCATTGGCGTGCCGCTGCGGCCGTCGCGGGGCTCGACAGTAGGTGCGAGTTGAGTTGGCAGCCGGTGCAGAAGGGATCACGGCATATCGGCATCAGATTGTCCGCGGGTCCACTGGTACTTTTCAATCGTGCATAGAGATAAGGGTTGATGCCATTCTTCAGGGCGGCGTGATGGGACATGAGTGAATTGGCCATCACGTCGATAGGTAGTTGACCGGGACTGTAGCCCAAGTAGGCGGCGGTGGAGACTGGTAGACTGACGCCAGGCTTAAACGTGCCCAATGGGAGATCCTTGATTGATGGATCGGCCATAGCAAGCACGCTGACGGGACTGTAGGCGGGTTTCACTTGTAACGAGGGACTACTCACGGTTGGCTGACTCGTGGAAGCGTCTGCTGTACTCGAAGGCGCCGAGTTTCTTGAAACCGGCGAGTCTCGCGTGACCTCGCCGTTTGGCGTTGCTGTTTTCCTACCTTGCGGCGTGACCGCGCGCGTCGACGCGGCACTCTGATTGCTCGGGCATCGTTTGCCGCTGTTACCGGGCGTCCTCGATCGGCCGGACGTCGAGTGGCTTGACGTCGATCGCGACTCGTCCGGCGTGCACGCCTTCTCACGTCCCAGGCAGGATTCGTATGGCTTAAAACTAGTCTTCGTGGACTCGCTCGGCACCGTGACTGATACCGTCACCGCCGGCGAGGATTTCTCGCGAGACTGTTCCGTAGTTTTGGATGATCTGTTACTCGATGTCTTGTCCAAGGAACTTAGTAATGATTTGTTGGACGGTGGATCCGCTCCTATCTGACTGCAGGTCTGTGCGAGCAATGCGAGTGGACTTTTCTTCGCATCCAGCTGAAATCAAAAGACGGAAAATGTTTATAAAATAAAAAGTTTTTTAATTCTGGAAGGGATATTTATATTGAGAAATGACAAGTTGAGTTTTCGAATACTTTGTTGATCCTCGATACAAATGTCGTGTTGAAAAATTATTTTTCTTACACTCAGGGAAAAAGACATACTGGTAGCAACTATATAGATGACAACTATACAAATTTATATCTAGAATTAATGTACATAGTTGCAACGTTCAAGGCAATTATAAAGTAGTTTATTCTCAACTATCATGTCAAAACATTAGGGCACGGAAAAAAAAGAAAGTAGCTGTCGTAACTAAAAACTACATGTGATAACTAAATGGTAGGTGTAAAATGTGGACAGCTAAAATATAGGTATCATAGCTAATGTCTTAGCTGTGATATCTATATTATAGCAGCAACAGCAAAACCATTTCGCTGTAGTATATAAATTTATAGTTACGGCAGCAAATATATTATAACAAACTAAGATTAGCTGCGGCAGAGAAAATCTTTTTTTCTGTGGGCCCGTATTCATAATCAGGCCTTATATTTAAGGCTTCTTTAAATTTATCTTCAGATGCTCTATGAATTATTTCATTGGCTATTGAGCATCTAAAGATAAATTTAAGGAAGAGCCTCAAGTACAAGGTCTGACTATGAATATGGGCATAATTCTACTAAAATTCTACTATAAAACTTGTACAGTTATCATTCATATAGTTGGCTATTATTATATTTTTTGTTAGTGTAGAGAGAGTATAGAATATAAGTTTTTTAATATAGAACTATTGATTGTACAGTTCGCAATTTTTGTTCAAAGTATGATTTCACATTGAACCTACTATGTGCGTCGCTATAATATAATTTTTAGTATCTTTTAGAACCGAACTAATGATTTTTAAAATAACCGATTATTCAATATAATTTCGACACTCCATTTTATCATTTTGAAATTCAATTCAGAGTATGTCGACGTTGACTGATGTATAAAACTTTCTTATGTTTATAAACACAATAATGCAATCGTTAATATTAATTGACTCGGCAATAATTAATATTTGTTGGTTGTGAATCTGACCATTTGACGAGTTCAACCTGTTTTCGAAATACGTAACGTTAGTGATTTAAGTGATTTTCGATCGACTGCTACACCGCAATGCACGATCTGACAACCCTCGAAACTTGGCGCGTGACGCGTCTGGATGGAGGCAAGTCCAATTAATGACGCGCAAACCGCAATCTGTAGCGCCGCGTCACTCTTTCGCCGAGCGAGAAGTGACGTGGATAAAGGGTGCGTCGGACAAACTTATCCCACGAAACGCCCGCCCTTTTGATTTATTGAGAATTTTTTACGCGAGCGACGTGTCCCCGAGATTTTTTCCTAACGACCTGTCAACGTTGAAATTGAATTACTTCTACTAACAATGATAAATCCTATAGATATTAATTCTAAACTTATGTACTTGAGAAATCGCGATTATGTCCATTTCTACCAATGTAGATTAATTTTAACCCTTTTGTCAATGCATAATTTTTCACCTTTTCACTACCACGTTTTACAGATAAAAATGTAAAAGTAAAAACCAGATGAAATTTATGCAAAACTGTTCTCTGTTATTCGTAAGGTGAGATTTTTGAAGCATCATAATGAAATTCACACAATATAAAAATTTTTATTTAATCTGTTTAAGGATTCTTCAGATATATGAACTCTACAAAAAATAACTGAAATTGAAAATTTATACTTTCAGTATAAAAATGAATGTCACATACGTGTGAAATAGTTTAATAAGGTTCATTTATATTTAATACATAATTTTATAGTTTAAATGAAAGTTTTCTCATTTTATCTTAATTATTTTTTAAAAATATGTCTACTTCATGAAACAGTTTCTTTATCGAGGTTCTAAATTACTGCCGAACTTTTTGTATTACTTTCAAATACAATGTAGAAAATGTATAATTTTTCAGTAACATCCTTAAAATTTGATCTGTACCTATACATTGATAGAAAAGGCTTTCTCAGTTATTCTTTTTATCTTTTTCTAATTTTTAAAATATAGAAAAGGTAAATTAAACCGAAATTAAAATTATTTACTAATTAGTATATTACTGATATTTTACTACCTTTAATAACCTACTGAAAGTTATTAAAGGTTAATTCTATCACTAATAGAAATATTAATGATCTTTATATGTGCGGATAAACAAGAAAAGATATTTTCGTGCGCGCATGATTCCTACTATAAATCTGGAATACGACACCACGTCAATGATGCGAAACGTTGCGACGATCCGCGCAGAATCTTTCCTTATCTTTTTGTTAAGAACGAGATTCACCGGGGGGAGAGATAATCAATATGCTATTGCCCGATACAGACGTCATTAGCGTGTAAGTGCGGGGAATTTAACATCGGCGCCTTCGCACATCTCTCGAAGTGGTCACGATGATGCACTCGCTATAATTAACGTATAGAGAAGCGATATTTCTCGTCGACTGATACGTCCACTGAACAGATGTTCCGCCGTAATTAAAATGCAACGATCATGCAACACTAACCCGCCGTCGCCGCTCACGGTCGGGTCTGTACTAATGGCGCGACGCCGACAGATATTAATGTCGTGAATTGCAACAGGCCATTACGGCAACGCGAGGCTATATATTAATTGCGCTCGTGAAAGTTAACGGGAACGTTCGAACGTAATATTTTAATCCGCTAATTCCGCCCGCCGGCTTTTGATTGTCGTGGTTAATTTATGTCCCTCGAGACAAGAGAAACTTCCCTTTATCCACGCTTTACGTGACTTCTGCTGAAATCTTTTGAATATATCCTTTTATTTTCCTATAGTAAATTTTTTACAAGCAGTAAGCATCACTTTCACAAAGTACTGAAAAAAGTGTCATGGGAAAACAGGTGTTTTTTTTTTCCCCATAAAAGTTAGACGTCGAAGAGAATAGCCTGTGCTTTGCCTTTGTTTTGAATTTGACTAGTGGCCCAGCGGGACAGTTTACAAAACGATTTTGCGATTCTTTTATGTCCTTTGCGGAGCGGAGAGTGCAAACTCAATTATTTATTCATTACATTACAAAGTCAATCACGCGTAAGAAAATTTTTACGTCTCATAACTTAAGAGATTTAAACTGCCTGAATATATACTCGTATTTTTCTGTATTGTCGGACTGATTTTCTACGAGCAGTAAACATTGTTTTTGCAAAATACTGAAAAATAAATCAACACGGGAAAGACATTTTTTTTCACGAAAATTAGATGTTGAATATAACCACTGCTTTACTTTTGTTCTGAATTTAAATAGTCCAGTTACTGCGAAACAGTTTATAATAAATTATTTTATGATCTTTTATATTCTTTGTGAAGTGGAGATTGCAAATTCATTTATTTATTCACCACGTTACAAATTCAATTAAACGCACAAATATTTTTGTTTTTTATAAATATTAGGAAGACTTGTGTATCGTCTGAACATAACTCGTATTTTTCTATATTGTCAAACTGATTTCCTGCGAGCCTTAAGCATCGCTTTCGCAAAATACTGAAAAAAATAATCACGGAAAGCCAGGAGATATTTTTTTTGCACCAAAAAAACTATCGAAGAATAGTCAGTGCTTCGTCTTTGTTCCGCATTTAAATGATCCAGCTACTGCGAGACAGTTCATAATAAATGATTTTACGGTCCTTTATATTCTTTGCGAAACGAAGACTGCAAATTCATTTATTTATTCATTACATTACAAATTCAATCATGCGCACAAAAATTTTTACGTCTCTTATAAATATTAGAGAGATCTGAATCGCTGAATATAAGAGTGCACCGTCAACATGACCGTCTGTACCGAAAAGCCGATCGAACGCTCTATTCCACTCGCTTTTCCATCCTTCATCCTCCCCCTCTTCCCTCCCCTCCCTGCGCAACAATCAGCATTGTATTACCGAATCGCGCTTTGATTTATGACGTGCGTAAATCAGCGCGACGCACGCCGTGACTTTGCCAACGCACACTCGCTGTCCCCAAAATAGTTTACAGGAGTTTGGAGCATAAAACGCGGCGCGCGTGTTTCCGTCGGGATTAACGGAACGACGACAGGCGACGTTAATGAGCCGCTAGGAAAGATATTTTTAAGCAAGAAAACTCATGCATACGTGACATTTTAAGCATTTGGGCTATTTGCGTTTGCATTAATGACATAAACGTTGCACGCGAATATCCGTGAGAGATTATTAGACTAAAATTAACATTGTTTATCGATCATACTCCGATTTTCGAATTGTCGGTACTTACGGAATGTTTACAGTTTGTTATTTCTAGCGCGATCTGTTTATCATGTTAATTTTCAACGTGATTTATTTACAACACGTTGAATCGCTTTTCTCACTTTGAACGCACATTTTTTTTTTCTCGGGAGAGACGCAAAGTAGAGAGAACGAATAATAAAGAAGCGATGTTTTTCATGCATTTCCAGGCGAGGTTTTTCATTTTCTGGTTAACTCGTGGTTTAAATTTAACCTGATAATAATGTAAAAATGGAATTTTTCTAGCTACGGTTTTGTAATGATTTTTTAAGTCACGCTACGAAACCATTAATCGTAATTGAAACGTGATTAATCATAATTATAGAAAAATATAATTTTTATATTATCATCAAGTTGAGTGAGATTAAGTCTAAATCTCAAGTTAACCAGAAAATGAGAAACCGGACTTCAGAGAAGTGGTAACAACTATAAAAGTGACAGCTATACAAGTTTTATGTGTAGAATTTTAATCTTTAGAGGACAGGGATTTATTTTTAACATTTTACAGCTTTTCGTTGAGTTAGATTTTTTGTTATAATTTATTATTTTTTATATGAATACAATATTGTATTCCTTGCCTCAAAATATGAATCTGTTTCAGCACTTTCACTGGTGGTTTTCCCGTTTTGTTAATGTACACACACACATAGTTGCATAAACTATTTCATAGTTATTGCAACTATTATATAAAATAGTTCATTCAACACTACACTAGTTTACTCAACTAAATTCACATAAAATTTGTACAGCTATCATCTTTATAGTTGCTGTCATACACGGAAAGAATGTTTTGCTGAAATATCAAAAAAAAGCTAAATACAGATCAAAATAATTTTGTTGACATATCGAAATAACTATGTAGGAAGCTGATTGCTAGAATGTGAAACTTTTTGCAGCATTACTAACCACGCTTGAATTTCCTATATAATTATTTCGAATTTATCCAATAAAATGATTTTCGGGTCTGTATCTGTCTAAATTTTCAGGTACTTTGGCAAAATCGTTCTTTCCGTGTATACTTTTTCCCGAATGCACGTACGTTGTTATTCCGTCGCGCCGCCGTTCGAAATGCAAACAGCAAATAGGAAATATCGCTCGTTAAATACGAAGCCTTTAAGACGTTGAGAGACGCGTATCTCGACAAATCGTTAACTCGCGACGAACAAACGGGCACACGGAGGGGTATGAATAATGGACTCCGTAAATAGCGACGTGGAAAGGAGAGACGAGAAAAGCGAATAGACCAGCGGAGAGAGAAAGAAAGAGACTAACCGTAGTAGGTAGCGGCGTGAGGTAATGATCAGGACGGAGATACTGATTCGCGCTGGACGTCAGCATCTTTCGCGGTCGATCCTCTCGCGCCGTCGGTCGTATTACTCGACGATAGGCACCACTTTTTCTATCACACTCGACGGCTCATCGGCGATCCAGCCGCGCGATCCGTCGCACTATCTTCCTCTTATATCCGTCGCAGCAGTGAAACAACGATATCACTCTCGAACGCGAAGCCATGCACCAAGCTTAAGCTGATTCGGTGACGAAGCGGCACTTATCTGTGCGCGCGATACGCACAAAACCCTTTTTCTTCACAAGCACTAAATCATGTAGAGAGAGGGAGGGAGAGAGAGAAAGGGGGAGAGAGAGAGGGAGAGAGAGAGAGAAAGAGAGATAGTAGGAAAACGGATCGTCGGAGCACCCTTAGATCGGCAAACCAGCGTCCGTTGAAACGACGAATCACGCGGAAACAAAAAAAGAAAGAAAACGAACTCGCGTCACAGTTACAGTACAGTTATCGTACTCGGTATATCTTCGACACGTTGACGCGGTGAGATTCGACTCGCTACTAAACCGCTCGGAGCGGTCGACGTGGAGCGCTCGGTTTGCCCTTCTCGTCGCCCGACCCTCACTCCACCGGCGTTCAGCTGACTTCCCCTACCTCGTACACCGCAGATTCGTGCTCCCCGGGGGAGCATCTCCCCTTCTTCGAGCGACTCCGCGACAACATCGTCGTAGGGTGGCCCCTCTCTCCTCCTCAGGCGAGCGGAGCGGACGGTGTATCGCGACTACGACGCGGGCTACGACGCGCGGAACGACACGAAACACCACGAGCGGTGGCGACTAACCAATGCGGGCGAAAGAGGCGAACGCAAAGGTGACGGCGACGGCCGTAGCGACACGGTGGTCGTTGTCGGTTCGCGGCTACGCCGACACTTTTGCCTGCTTTTGCCGGGTGCGAGAGAGCGACCCGGCCAACGACGTGTCAACTGGCGCGGAGTGCCCTCTCGCAACTCCCATTACGAGCCTCCATTTCCACCGAGGAAGACTCTCTTTCGCAAAGACGTCCGCAGGATTTTTCCTAAAGGAAGGCTGATCCAAAATATAATAATAATAATAATATCATTTTTAGACCGTGTATGTGAGAGATACAACCGATAAATTAGAGTCCTGTACGGTCGAAGCTAGATCTTAAAATGCTTAAATAATTCAATCTTGAATCACTAAATATGATATATATGTACTTGACATACATACCACAATTGTAATCTAACAAACTGTGCACCGAAATATTTCCGAACTAAACATAATTAAACCACTGTAGTAATTTCGCGAATTAAATTAAATACTAATAATTTCGATGCTCAATCAGGCATCATATTTCAAAGATGTTAATATGCTGAAAAAATAATAATAATAATAAATAGACAAGCTTGTTATTGCTGTAATTTCGAGAATTAGAATATATACATATATAATTACAAATGTAATACATATTTTGGTATTAAAAACTTTTTCACTACGACAGTAGGGATAAATTGAGAAAGAAATTGTATTAGAAATTGTCGCCCAGAGGGGAGGAGACAAATGCCCTCTTTTTTTTGCCCTCTCCCTTTCTAAACGCTCGTGTTCTTTCATACGTCTAGTCTGTACTTCTGATACTGTTACTCCGCGATATTTTTCGCCTAACATCGTGGCACTGTTAAAGAGATACGGACGCCATCATTATTGCCATCGTGTAGCGCCCGGCACCTGCCCGGTCCCACGATTCGCGCGGCGCGCGCGAGTGCAGCGGAGAGATAAAGGCCTACCTACGAGATTCTCGTTGAATTCGTAATCATCAAATCGCGTTCGACGTACCGATCGTTCCTAGGAAAATTGCACGCGCGGTACTTCTATTTTTACCGACGGGAAATAAGGTGTTGGCACGCAAGGAAGATATCGGTTGTTCGCGTTCCCTAAGAGTCGAATTAGACTCTCAATTCGCGTACGTCGACGGATTACTCGATTTTTCATTCTTAGACACCATACAAAGTTTCAAAATCAGAATAAAACGTCTTAACTTTTACAGAACGGGAAAGCCAGTATAGTGTGTGTGTCGCTGAAAGTATCATATTTTGAGGCAAGAAGTAAAATGAAATAAGTCTAGGTTCACAACCTTATTTTAAGAGGCCCTAAGCCATAAAGCCGCAAGAAATTGACCAATCATAGTCGATTATTTTTTTTATTTTCAACCGTGATTGGTCAATTTCTTAAGGTCTCTTAAAACAAGGTTGTGGATCTAGACTAATGAATTATAACAAATCTTACTCAGAAACACATTAAGTTAAAAAAAATAGACTCCGCCCTCTAAAGAGTAAAAATTTTTGCGAAAACCGTTATAGACCCAGTTTTTTTATTTTCTGATTAACTCGTGGTTAAATCTACCTGATGATAATATAAAACTTATATTTTTCTAGTTATTGTTAATCACTGATGGTTTTGTAGAGGTAATTTTAAAAGTTACACACTAACTGATTTTATAGTCAATAACTTTTAAAGTTACTACTATAAAATCGTGAGTTTAGTGATTAATTATGGCTAGAAAAACAATTTTTACATTATTATCAGATTAAGGATCAAGAATTGCCGTTCTCGCAATATATGGTTACCTAAACATTAAGTTACCAAGAAATTATGAATGAATTTCATTAATAAATCTCTTGCTACGTTAGTTTAATCTAAAGTTAATCACAAATTAATACAAAAAAATGAAAAACCGGCATCTTAAAGGTATTTTATGTCTCGATTTTAGATTTTGTGTTGTCTGCGTTATCTATTTTGGAATTTCCGTTTCGCGCAGAGATCGTACTTAATTTCTGCCACAAATTCTTTTGATAAAGATATGAACTTTTGTTTTTTATCAACGAGAAACTAAAGAATACGTTCAGTTTTATGTCTTTAGAATTCTTTATTTATCCAGTAGAGCTAATTCAAACGGGAAGAAAAAACAGGAGGCTATTTCTCGCGTACATACAAAGCAGACGTTTTATTTCATCATCGCGTCCTAGTGCGTAGAGCAATAAAGTATCGAACAATATAATATACGAGCAAGTAGAGCGTGAAGCAGTATAACCATCGCCTTATGCACTTAACGCAGCCTTTGTTCGTGCGTTTACGACGATGCACTCACGCTTGAGATCCAATGTACGCTAACATCATCGAGGCGCGTTATAAAGCTCTATCCGCAATAAAAAGATACCAGAACAGGTATAGATTGTAAAAGATCTCCCTGCCTAAGCACATCTGTAAACACGCGCGATGGATGTTAGGGGTGTATATCACATCCATTTTTATAAATGTATTAATATTTATACTTTAAATAAACGATATACATAAAAGTTGTATAGGTAACTCGTTTATAACTTGTGTTCTATTTTTATTGAATATTTTTTCGAATTTATTTACTTTATTTGTTATTATTTTTTTATTGTAACGCCAAAATTTAAAAAATAACAGCAAAAATCTTAATTTTTTTGTATGCTTACCTTAAATATCGAAAATAGTTTATATAAAGTTTCAATGCAGAGATTAGTTATTTTATAAATAAATTTTATTTATTTTTCCAGCACAACTAATCTTTACATCGCAATAAAACTTTGCATAAATCATCTTGAATACTTAAAGTACTTTTATATTAACAAATTTAAGATTTTTTTACATTATTTTATAAAACATTTTCATACATTTTCATTGAAGCATAGATAAAAAAAATTCTACTTATTGAAATAACTTTTAATCCAGATTTTAAACCGTTGCAAAATTTTTTGTATTACTTTTAAATACGATCTAGAATAATCTGTAATTCTTTCATACTTTTTTTTTCATTATTTTGAAGATATATGTAATATATTATACACATGTGATGAAGTTAAATTCGCTCTAACGGAAATCTTCGGAAGTATGACTTTGAATAGTGTTTCTCCTCACATAAATTTTAACAAGTTTCCTTTTGAAAATCTTGGTATTTCCATATATTGACAGTTATAGACGTACATTATCGCATTAAAATGAATTCATTCGAAAAAAAAAGAAAGACGCAAAATTAGCGTTTATACTATTTATAGTATTTTACCTGAACCCGAACAAAGGCTGTTCGTATATTACTACCAGTTGTATACATCAATACAGTATAGTATATGTAACAGAAACTATAGATTTTCAGTCTGGTAATATACGACATAGTCAAAATCTTTGTATGATTCTTTGATTTTCTCTTCTGCATTGTAAGATTCTTTAATATAATTGGTATAGAATATACATTTAGACCTAATGAGAAACTGAGGGCATGACGCAATAATATTAAATTTTACGATTGCCAAGCTATGCTTTTTCTACTGATTCTAGGAAATACTTTTCAGTCTTGTCCTTTAGCATCATATGGTAGAAATCCTAAGCTTTTTCTTAATACGTACGTAAATGGTGAGAAATTGGAAATTGGCAGTAGAAAGACCAGGGAAAGTTACAGTTTTTCGTATGTATTCAACGATTTGACACGTACGGATCTTCGCAGAAAAAAATGCTCGTAAACTTATTAGATAGGCTGTTGTAATCGTAAACTGTTTCACTTTTAGCAAATGCATTGAAATAGCGTTTTTATATTCGAGATGCGTGGGTGAAATTTAATACGAAAATAAATTCAATGCGAAAACGTTTAAAACGCTTGCACGTTGCACGCGGTCTAATGCATATTGTAACGATTAATGAATTCGACTAAAATGGATTGAAGTGGTAATGGCAGTGGTGTATGTTGGCGGATACGGATGCACCGGCGATGCATCGAAACGCATATCAATTGTTTCATGGAAATTCGAGTGTCAATTCCTCTCATTACTATACGCAAAATTATAGGATTGTATTGCGTGTCCTGTGATTGTGTTGCATGTGCCAGGCAGGAAAGGTGATTTACGTAATTCGTATTGATTATTGAATGGTACATTATCGTGTAATCTGATTTAATTCGGCACTTTAATTAAACATTCTAAGAGAAGACTGCACGTAATGTTAACATAGAATTTGGAAAGGATACATTTAATGAACGCAAAACACGATGCAGTGGCGATGACTGTGGCAATTTACGTGGCAAATTAAAAAAAAACAATTTGAAAAGTTTTGACTGAGAGCCATGAATTTCCAAAATTAATCACGTGCCCCGAGAATTGATAACGATGATTTGATATTAATTGAAAGCTTTAATTGAATCTGATATACGCGCTGAAATATTGGCACATGCAAATTAGGCATGCAATATACAGCAATTTCGCGATACAAATTTTTTAAAAACAAAAGCCTAAATTTGCATCTCGTTTGCAGTAATTCGGTCGGAGCATATACGTATTTAGTTTTCTTTTTAACGCGCATTTACGTGCATTACGTCTCTCGACGGCGTGGCATGCATCTGTACACGCAATCACGTGATGTTATTAAATCATAATAAATTCAGGTTACAGCACGCAAAGATATCACCAAGTTCGTAATTTCTTTGGTGCAGCTGCTACGTGCAAGAAATGCTAGATT